ACAAGAAGAAAGGGGGGAGGTAATGCTTTGAATTCAGCCATCACTAAAGAGCAAGCCACGGTTTTCCAAGATAATGCATTGAATTCAGCCACCATTAAAGAACAGGCCACGGATTCCCAAGAGACAAGAAGAAAAGGGGAAGGGGAAGGGACAAGACCACTCCAAAAGTAAATTTCATAATGAGGTACCTTTTGAGAATTAAAGAGCTACTAAACTTCAGCTCAAGCAACTTAGAGAACAAGCTCAAAACCGAATGCTCCAAAACAGCCAACCCGTGAACCACCAGCAGCCAGGGACCAATCGAGCCAGCAAACCATAGGTCTACCAAGCCATATGCAATACCTACCATGATCATTGGATGCTTTCCCATCATTGGATAGCTAAAAAAGAAAAGAAAACAAAATATACTATTGTTCAAATAAAATAAAAAGTACAGAAATTCTTGATAGCATCAATGTTCTATTTCATTTTTTGGACCACCATTATATTGTTGCAAAGATTAATAGCATTATAAATGTGACTAATCATTATATGGTTGTTGCCAATCTCCTCATCAAGAAATTGAAACTCTGCAGGATCTTCGTGAGATACTGATGAAGCTAAGGGAAGACCATTACTACTGCCTGTACTGCGGATGTCAGGTATGTGCCATTCAACTATCATACAAATTTTTCACTACTGTGGATGCTTTATCAAAAAAATGTGTTCATATGATTCGTTCATGAATATGCACGTTGCAGCCAGCTTCTGGCTTGCTTTAGGATTGAATAGATTATTTTCCCGTAACATAACCGAAGCCACTCAGTCTTGGTATTGATTTGGTCCAATAAATGTTAGGACTCATGCTTGTAACTAATACCTTCTATTACCTTTAATAATGAATTTCCACTTATAGCTATAAATAGTGACTGTTGACGTGGATTTAGAGCATCCAAAACATGTTAAAAAATGTCATAGCTGTTTTTCTCTTCTTCAGCGTTTTTTTTTTCTTTCTTTCCCCTGAATGGTAATCTCCCATATGTTCATGGTTTTGGAGCTAGAAAAGGCAACTACGGGTGAGAGGAACACCAGTTTATCAGATTGAGGTCTTATTGTAAGCTGTGGTGCTTTCCTTTCCCTTTACCATGTGCGTTTCTTCTGTATTTCAAGTTCTGTAGCTTTTTTTAAATAGGCACTTTGGATCTGGTACCTCTAACAATAAAGATAAGGTTCCGAGAACAAGGAGTTAATACTTAATATTTCTGTTGTTTTCTGTTAGGGTTGCAGGAGTCTAGTTCAACTGAACGGAGTCAGCTGACCTCTGCTCAAAATTGAAAACTTCATTTCGAGTTGAGCAAATTAGAGTCAAATTAAAAAAATTATTGCTTCCAAGCTCAAGTTGAGTTAATCAAAGCTTCTTAAATATATATGTTTAACATATAACTTTATTTTCTTAGAAAAAGTTATATAATATAAGTGTGCATGTATGCATTAAATATAAATATATTTATATAATATAAATTAATTGTATATATATAAATATGCATATATGAGTGAAAACATACATATAAATGTGGATATTCATATGAATTGATTTGTTGTTGAGCATGCCATCCTCGAGTCGAAGTAAATTGATTTTAATTTTGAATTGATTAAATTTCAAGCAAGTTTTGATTTTTTAATAAACTTTCTAACCTTATTTGCTACAGAGAAAACCCCATCGCTTTAGGTTTGTAATAAACGTCCTCTTTCTCAATTATCGTCATTTGATCCAATTTAATGAGTTTATTTTTTTAAGGTTTTGTTTAGTTTCAAATGCAGTGACTATAGGCATGCCGTTTGTTTCATATATTGAGCTTGTTGAAGTTTGGATTATTTTTGGAGGAATTTGAAGTTGTCTTTGCGGTCTGTATAAGCCATGGTCTTTCTTTTGGGTAGATAACATGTCCGACGCTTCATTTCTTGGTGAAGCTCTTCTTTAAATGTCCTCTCTGTAGCTCTTAATCCAGAAGCCTTTCTCGAGAATAAGAAACTCACCTCGTATGTTTGGACTGTAGGGCTTCTTATGTAAAAAGCCAATCTAAAACACTCTTCAAACATTCCTTTATAAAGAGGGAAGCATGGTTACAACATAGATTGCATTTAATACACTATAAGTCTATAACACACAATTCAAATCATACATTTATTATAGAAAATCATGACTCTAAATAAGTAAGTTATGAGCTATGGCTCTGCTCATCAATGCCACAATTGTTGAGTGGAGTTGTTATACTGCCATCTTTATTGTTAGCTCAACCGTATTCTTGAATCCCAAATTTAGTTCATATTTCCCTTATTATTTACATGAAATTGGCTTTGCCCAAAGAATAATTGAAGGAGATGTACTCTAACCTTTGACTAACCACATGTGTATTTACATGTCTTAAGAATTGATGTTTATGACTTCTTACTACTTTTTTTTTTTTAACAAAATAGATTAGCGAGAATGGATTAATAAGAATTAAGTTTGAGAATACCCTTGCCCTTATAGATCATAATATTAGAAGCACACAAATTTATTTTAATTCCGTTTCATCAGATTGATTTATTACTTTTTCATATTCGTCACTCATTATTGTTGATGACATGATGAATTTTTTATTTCTCAATATTTTTATTTAAATAGTACATATATTTTAATTTTATCCATCCATCTAAAAAATTATAATTGTCATGTGCAGATAATGATATAAATTTTGTCAAATTTTATAAATATTTATAAATATTTTTGTACACAAAATTATACGCTTAAGAAAATGATTTTAATTTGAATAATTATTGAATTTAAAAGTCTAATATTTCTTTCAATAAACTATGATAGATAAGAAATAAAAATACATGTAAAATAAGCCTAAATCCACTGCTTTTGCGTTTATTTTACCACTTAATGTTTAGGCATATGCTTGTCAATAATATTTTATCTTTACTAAAACGTCAACATTCATTACATAGAAAGTAGAGTATGCATTTCATAGTAATCATGGAAATGGATATATTGCTTTAAATGTTCTTTATTATTATAAAATTCTCAAATTGTTGGTTAATTTTCAGTGCTTCTTTTTCAGTATGAATCAGAGGGAGCACTCCAGTCTTCTTGTCCTGGACTCTTTGAAGAGGACCACTGAGACTCAGCTTGCTGGCAGCATTTGAAATGCGGACTAACGGTCAGGTTTTGAACTCAAGATCAAAATGGCAAACAAGTTTGGAACACAGCGTCAAGAAATGATTTAATCAGCAAAATTTAGTTTTACAATTCATGAAGAAAGCACACATAAGCCATCAATCCAAGTTCTAACTCAACAACATAGGTGGCTAGAAACTTCCTATTGAGCACTCGTAGTTCCAAACGAATACCCTTAAGTGTTTAAATTCTCTCTCTAATGACTATAGAGTGGCATGTACTCGTCTGAATTCAAAACTGTTTTCCATTAGATGCACTAGTGATGTATACGACATTGTACTATCAGTTAATAGATGACTTAAATTCTTTCATCAACAATAATAACAAAACTTTATCACATTGTCGGCTACTTCAAATTCTTTCATGCAAAAATAGAGAATTAAAGCGATATTTAAAAATTCACGAAATAGTCATCATAAAGCACCATCATTCAAATAATCCTGATGGATAAGTACACAAACTATTAGCAAAGATGTTTCATGTTCTGCCGAGTCTCAAAAAAACAGTACATGGCATAGTTCACAAAACGTTTAAAAGCACCAAACCCCCAACATAACTACTAAAGAGACCAGTGCATGACAGAATGATCATGATCAAAGACCTCACGGTGGCCAAGCTCATCAGGGCACTGCCTATTATCCTGCAGAGCCAGCTCAAGCTCACTTGAGAAGTGGCCATTGCCAACATCCGGCAACTGCTTAATTCCCATCTCAAGGGAGCTGCTCCCTGATGCATGATCTCTATATGCCCATGGACTATTCATGTAACTGCATGCTATGTTCAGTTGAGCCATCGGACCACCATCGATTCTGGTGCTCGCTGAAATCAGCGGAGCTTCATGGTTTCTAGGCGGGGCCGCTGCAACAATGGTTGAGCCCCATGGCTGAGTTGACAGAAGAGAGAGAGCACAGCTGGAGTCTGAGACACCTGCAAGGGAATCGCCTGATGCTTGCTCAGGAGCAGAGAGGAAAGTAGGATACTGGTTAACACGTGTACCAAAGCTCCCATGCCACTGGTTATTGACTGTCTGATCATTGCTTCTCATGCTTGGCCATGTATCTCTTGAAGCACTTAGCGGCCTTGGATAAGTGAAGTCCATCAGGAAGCTTCTAAATCTGCTGTTGTCCTCTGCAAACATGAAAAATGTTCTAGCTCGGAGATTAGATGGAAAGCAGTGAAATGAAATAAAATGCAAAGAGAACAGCACCATGGAAGGATGAAAGCCTGCCACATCGCGACGTTAAAGGCCCAGGAGGCGGCTTCCTTCGACGTTCATTATGTCCAGCTAGACGTCTGCGACAGCTTCTTTTCCCCTGGTCAAATTCAGATAGAAGGTGGAACCTGCAAAAGAGGTACTGTTATTGCTGGTATGTGGTCACAGGTATCAGTTATTAAAAATGGAGATCTTTGGATTTTAGGATGGGGAGGTAATCAGAGATCAAATTGTGTTGCATTGTGTTGCATGTGGACAGCAATGGCCCCTCAGATCTCTCAAGACATTCAGGTTAAAAAAAAGGAGAGAATAAGCATCCTCATGGAGGAAAAGAAGATAGTAAGATCTCTTTAATGGAATTACTCCATCCAGCTTTATGTATAATAACGTGCTGTTATCGCTCATGAAAACTTAAGGATTAGCCTGATATATAATAATAATTTATAATTTATAACATGTTAACAAACAGTGCGTGTCATTTGCGTCTTGAGTCATGCACCATTGCACATGCATGGTGCAAATAGCGAGCACTATTTTGATACGTCACGCCCTGTCAAGCAAATAACATAGTATGTGCACTGTGTCATTCCATGCACCATGGCACGTACCATTTTGAACCATTGACATTTATGCCAGCCACAGTAACTCTTGCTCACCGAAATGATAACACGAACACCCAACCTTTCAATCTTCAATTAGAGATAAACCCCAATGGTAAAAAAATACCCTAAATATACTCATTTACAAGTATCTTATGTAGAATTGATAAATAAGACTAACGATAAAGAATGTTTTCGCTGGTCACCACTATTTTACACACAACCTCATATTTGATATCCATAAGTATTATAATTTTCATAGATATAATATAATAACCATGGCACAAGATTGTCAGCATCTTAACAGTCTTGGGGAAGAACTTATCTAAGCCAAATATACTTGATACGTCGTAACAAAATTAGCTTGATCGGGCACGAATCTCGAGGCAAAAGCTAATTGGAAACTTCAAAAATTAATTCCGGGAGCTCCCGAACTCCGATTTCAGCAAGCTTATAGTCAAACTGAGCGTCTCGAAAATACGAACCCAACGAGCCCAAGATCGCCGAATTCCGACATCATTAAGGCCTTCAAATGCCCAACAAACGGTGCATGATCAAAGGATTCGATATCGGCCGTCCATTCAGAACACTCCCAATTCGCCCTTGATCTCACGCCTATTTACGAGCTATGTCACTCCAGAAAAACTATAAATAAAGCCCTCATTCTACACAAAGGGGACTCAAGTGAAGAGAGAGAAGAAGAAGGGAAGAAGAAGAGAGGGGAAAAGGAGAATCCCCTCCTCGACCGCCGCCGGAGCTCTTCCTGTCGCCCGAACACATCGGGATTCTGCGTGATATTCGGGAGAACGCAAGAATTCTTCCCAACTTTCACATGATGCTGAAATTCTTCCCAATTTGCAACAGAGTTCCCTCCTGACGCCGAAACTCCGCCCAAGTGAAGCCGGAGTTCTCTTTTGCCACCAACAGACGTCAAACTTCTACCCGGCGTCAAACCTTCACTCTTTGCCAAGTTTCTACCCGGCGCCGGAATTCTGCCGATTATCAGACTTCGCTGGACGTTTACACGAAGATGGATTTCTTTCCATTGTTGGACTTCTACCTGACGCTGTTCTTCTGATCTTCGTCGTCAGACTACAGTCCTCCTGACTTATGTCGCCCGCCGACTACGGTCCTCCTGACTTATGTCGCCCGCCGACTACAGTCTTTCTAATCTCCATCGCCCGCCGACTACGGTCCTCCTGACTTACGTCGCCCGCCGACTACAGTCCTTCCGACCTCCGTCGCCAGCTGACTACGGTCCTCCTGACTTCCGTCGCCCGCTGGCTACAATCCTTTCAACAAAGCAAATATGTCAATAGTAGCTCTTTGTATTTACATCATGTAATGTACTCTATAAGATGTACATCAAGCTAAGGCCTTCTCCCAAGGAAGGGCCTCATTTGCCCTTTTTTCAGGGGTTTTCCACGTAAAAATCTTGGTGTCTCATAAATGCTAGACCCTCTCTCTTATCTAATTGCGTGCCAAATTTTCGTATAACGCTAAGACGATAAACTTTATATTTCTCTACTGCCGCGAATACTCCTGGACGCAACAATACTAAAAAAGAGAAAAAGGTTTTACTCATCAACGATATACAATAGTAAGAAAACGCATAATAAGAAAAATGAACAAATCCTATACAAGAGGAATCATCCTATAAATGGTAAATGGTTGTAATAAAATTCCCAGTTAGAAAAGGTGATGTGCTTTAACCAACCTTATAATTCATAAGAGAGTTTTAAGATACTTTTTTTTTCCTCTTTACAAAATTAAATTTAGTTTTTACTGAAACATACAGTAGGGAACTCACCCACAAGGCTCAACATATTTGGGATACATCAAATTGGAATTGTCAGAAGGTTCAAATCTTGAAGTCAATTGTTAGCTTATTCAATTTTAAGTCAACCAAGCATAATGAAACATAAAATATTGGCAACTTAGATTAAAAATCACAAAAATCCTGGATTTTAAATACAACCCAATTAGTTAAAAAAGAGGCAACTAATTTAAGCTTATGGTTAACTTTATAAGTTATGATGCTACCTTTCATAGGAGAGCTACGATGCCTTAGGCTCTTTTCGTTTGGGACTGTTTTTTTATTGCTTCTTAAAACGGAGTTCTATTACAAAAAAATTTATTTTAAAAAGCAATAAAAAAGCCGTCCCAAACAAAGCCTTAGATAGATGGACATCCGACACTAAACGATTGAAACTACAATAGGGAAACTCACCCACTAGGCTCAACTTATTTGAGATTCACCAAATTAGAATTGTCAAAAGGCTCAAATCTTAAAATCAATATTCACTTATTCAATTTTAAGTTAACCAAACATAAATGAATCACAATACTGGCAACTTAGAATAAAGTCGCAGAAATCTTGAATTTTAAATACAACCCAATAAGTTAAACAAGAGATTACTAACTTAAGCTTAGAATGATAACTTACTTAAGCTTAGAATGAGAGTTATCTCAACTTAGGGATAACTTTAAAAGTTATGAGGATACCTTTTGTAGGAGAGCTATGAACAACCTACACTGAACAAAATCACCACAACACTTAAATTAATAAAAGAGTTATATCAAACGAATCAATAAAATTCTAATGAACTAAGTTCTATAATTTTTTTTTTTTTACCCAATTCAAAACATTCATCTGCTAAACTACTCAGCAATTCACCTACTCAACAATTCATTTATTGACTACTTGATTATTATTTTCAAAGGCTTATGGTATTTTGAATATTTCTCATAATCATATAAAAGTCAAAACTTATATTAAAATTCTAATAATCAAACCGTACAATTCAAACCCCATCCCTTGCGTTGAAATTCGCACTAAAAGCAAAATAAATCCTTTCTAATGGCAAACCTAAAGATAGCCATCTCCATGAAGGCAAAAGCTTTGGCTTAAGTTGAGACCTATCGAATATGATGATTTGTACATTATGCCAAATATTTGGGCTTATATTTATGAATCATCATTTTAATCATTCCTCTAATTTTTGCGTGGAATATTAAACCTATTCTTGCAAATCTTATTAAACAACCTCTATCCATATTACATTAGGTCTATTAATTTTCCTACCTAATCTTTCAACACTAGAATCTCATGCAAAATCAAAAGAAATACAATGTAGCTAAGAAAACAATCATCTCAAATCCATTGAGCTATTTAAAATTTCCCTCAACTTGTCTCAAAATGAATTGACTACTGAGAACCATATCTTTATAATGATTCAAAAACCATATAACGCATAATAAACTTTGGATAATGAATTGGCTCTTTTATCAACCCAAAAGAATAAAAGAAATGGATGAAAAATAAACTCTAAATTTTGTCAATGTATTCAACTTTCTTCTTGGTTGCTGCATTTGTTATTTTTATCATGAAAGATGCTCATAGAATGTCAGAAATACAATTAATGCAAAATATGAGCTAACACCAACAACCGCTCCACAATTGGTGCTTAGCTTCCTAAAAAACTGCTAAATATTCATTGGACATTTTATCGAGCATGTTATGACTAGAAAAACATCAAGGGGAATCTTTTAAACATGAATAACTTATAGACTAGCACATGCAAATGATGCTTTCAAGAATTGACCTTACTGCCTTAACTGATCGTGCAAGTAAATGACTTCAATCAGCTACATATATCATTTTGTCATGAGAATAACATATAATAACTCTTTAATGAGTAAAGAAAGAAATCATTACCAATGTGCACGTCCTTAGAGACAAGCCGGGAGAGTGAGTGATGTAAAACGATCATGTGAAAATTGGTTTGAAGTAAGAGCTTGCACGCTTAACGTTAGGAGCAACAATAATTATACTCATTATGGTGATTTACATGAATAGACAATAAGTTGATAAAACAAGCTTAGGTTAATTCACATGAATAGAAGTTAAGTTCAAAAGATAGCCAGCTTAATCCGACATTGCATACATGGATCGTTCCAACAATAAATTTCAATACTAACAATAAGATTAGTCTATAAAAGATTCCTCACACAACTCTTCCTATTACTAGGTTCTAACGGCAAATAATTGACATGATCTTCATGAATCCATTAATAATAACCACAATCAAGGATGTAACTATAAAGATAGCAAATCAGATGTTGAGTTTACCCAAAGACAGGAGAGATACGCACTCCGGCAGAATCGTTTGGTGTTGGGGATGACTAAGACAGTCACCATGAGCTTTTTCGCACCACCGATTAGCCAAGACAAGGTGTGGATCGTCAAGACAGCAACAGTTTTTGATTTGGACAGATTCTGGACATCAATTGGAACCTTCCGGATGAAGGCATGGTGCTAGGAGATTTGTAGAATCAGTGGACAGCAAGTTGTAGGAGAGCGGCCAGCTGTTTGAAGGTTTTAGGCGGCTGGAATTCAAGTTTTCCTCGCTGGAATTCTTCCGGATGCTGTTGGGCAGCAGGTCAGCTGTTTTTACTGCTGAAATTCTTCTGGACAGCAACATTATAACTTAGAAAATCTGAGCAGCAACCATAGGAAGGATTTGGAC